CATTATATAAAGGTACAATTCCCAATGAGAAATGTAATTGTGTTGTATACCTACAATGTACCAATAAAAGAATTTAATACAAAAAAAAAAATTCAGCTTCCCACAGAAATTTTTCATTAGACCAAATTTTTTATTCACATAGGACCCAGTGCTTTAGGCCCTCTTAAGCTTTTCCAATCTGTATATCATAACCTAGAGTAGACCAGCCAATGGAGCATCCTGATATATTAAGTAGTTTCTAAGAAACCGTTCTGTAAGAAGATGATCTTCTAGTTACTCATTTGCACAGAGGCTTCCTTTAGCCCATACGCTTTACTCACAAGACTATAAAATACGCATGTACAGTATCCTCACTAATTTAAAAGACAGCACCCAGTAAGTACTCTTAAGTCAAGGAAGACTATTGCTTCCTCTTTTCTCAGTCTTATCCCATTTTTTCTCGTAGAACTAACTACAACCCTAACCTGTATATGAATCACTTCCTTGCTCTTTACATTTCACTACTTATGTAGTCATTCCTAAGAATACAATTTTTCTTGGCAGTTTTTGTGTTCTGTACAAAATAGTATTGTTTTTGTTCTTTTCTGTCTTGCTGCTTTTACTCAACATTATTTTAAAAACCATAAATATTGTGCTGTACATGATGTGATCAAAATATACTTTGAATGTCTAAATTTTAAAAATGTATTCTAGTAAAAGACACATTGCTGTTAATGCCCTTCAAAATACTCCCCCAGACCTCCAACACACTTATCCTATCATTCTTGGTACTTTCTAAAGCAGTTCTACAAGTCTTCATTTGTGAGTGTTTTTATAAGATGTAATCAGAAATACAGTGAGGGGCCAGGGATTTAGCTCAGTGGGACCATTCCTGCCTCGAAAGTGCAAGGTCCTGAGTTTGATCCCCAGTACAGAAAAAAGAAAAAAAATACAGTGAATGTTGGTGAGGCAGGCTTACAAAAACATGGTGTATCCTTGTGACCATTAGTCATGTTTTGTCACTTTGAATGGATGAAGAAACCCCTAGCAGATTAGTAAAGCACAGATCTAGGTGTTTCTGTGGTTTACTGATGTGTGGGCTAGCAAACTGAGGAGCAAAGATCCTCCCTGGATGGGGGTGGCACTAACCAATAGGCCTGTAGTCTGGATGGAATAAAAAAAAGAAAAAAAGGAAGTGTGCCACTTTCTGAAGAGTTCCAGTCTTCATTGTCACCTTTGGACATCAGTGTCCAGTTTCTAATATATGCTTGCACCAGTGACTCTCTGGTGAGTTTCCAAGCCTTTGGCCTTTGGA